TGAGAGAGGGTGTGTGTTTTTTTTAATTAGAAAAATATTGTTTTTTTTAATATCATTTAATAGTTTAGAATTTTTTTAGACACTGTAATTAAAATAAAATCCCAAGTGCATTATTTGAGAAAATATATATGTAAAGAAAGACAAACAATTGCAGCTGCTAACCTCGCCTTTGTATAATAACTGTTGAGTATTCGAAATTGCTACTGAAACTCATCACTGTATGAAACACCAAATGAAATCGAAAATAAAAAAAAAACTAAAATCAAAAATAATTAATTAATATTTAAAACATAGAGACAGTCATTTCAAAAATTTTGGGAGTGAATGCCTATGATGTATGTCCAAATTCATATTGGAAATATCAAATTCATTCAGCGAAACGAGACTTTCAATATTTTTTAGGAAATTATAAATTAATATAGTTTTTAATTTCAAAAATTATTTTAAGTGAGATTTTAAAATAATTATTTTGATTTCTTTTCTAATATGATTCTAATTCTGAAGTTTAAATTTATTTGAATTTAAATTTATATTTAAAAAAAGAACATTATGGAATTATTTATTTATTTTCATTGAAATTTTATTTATTTAAATTAATATGGAATTCGTCGTGGAGGAAACCTTAGAATATGTGCAATAAATTTATAGATTTATAGAGTTTACTGTAACCTTCATACCGAAATCTTCAAAATGCTGGAAATCCGACGACAGTATTTTGTCGATCATTTATTACACAGGGCGGGGGTTCTGTCAAGGAGACAATTGTGGGATTCTATATTCTGAGCAATATAATTGGTAGCAATTTAAAGGTCAATCACTCCTCTTGAATATACTGTCAACTTCTCTATGTCCTTCTGGAATAAATATATACGCCATAGAATACAAATTTTGTAATTTTTCACACAAAAGTCACGGTCCATAATGATCGATCTTTATCAAAACAGGCATGTTTATTCTTTGGCCCGATCCTCTTTTCCATGTAAAATTTCGCGATATCCGGGCCATAATTGCGGTCTCTGGATCGACCAGAGAAAACGACAAAGCTCAGCTAGTCGAGATATGACGATTGGTATACTTAAAGGTGGATCTAGGACCAATATTTCGCGGCGTTAAAAACTTTTGGGGCTGCACAAAGCTATAATACCCAGACAACATAGTTGTGTAGGGTATACAAATAGCTGGTGATGGTTATTCTGTAAAAATTTGAAATAACAACTTTTGAAACATTCACCTATATTACGGTAGGCGTAGTCGTTTGCGCGGCAACTCCCGTAAAATTTACGACAACGCCAAATCTTGTAATAGATTTTTCTTTTACTCTATTACAAAACCAAGGAAAAAAATTACTTTTAGAACCCATTTTATATTGTTTTGGAAAAACTGTAATTTTGTTTGTTTTCTAATTAAGTCCTGATTTAGCTTAGACGAGTTTACTTGCGGCAATTCTTATCATTCTCTTTTGAACTTGCTTCATGCGTCTATACAAGGCAATTCGGTTTCAAAAATATTTGTTTTTCTACATTTTGTGACAATGTTCTGGATTGGTATTTCAAATTACAGGCACTACAAACAAAATACACAAAACAAATTGCCAGATAATTGCCGATATTAGCATTTTTTTCAATTTCTATTCCCTTTGCCCCTCTCTCCTGCAAATAGACTTGCCGCAAGTAAAATCGCCTAATCTAAAATGGGACTAATTTCTTGGCAAGTGCAATTCTTATGAATATTAATACAATAAAATAAATTCTAACGTAAAATGTTAAATTTTTTCCTAGTTATTTTATGCTGTCGTCAACAGAATCTTTCACGACAAATTTGGTGTATTGTAACGACTTTCATAATACGGATTTGTCGTATAAATACGACTGTGCCATAATAGAATGAATAAGTTGGTGATGATAATTCTGCGAAAAAATGAAATTAACTTTTGTTTATAAAATCGTTTACTAAGTAAAATTTTTCGTTTACTAAGTAAATCATTTGTAGAATATAGTAGTGAATGAAAATCAACAAAGTGGAAACCAACAATTTTTTTAACCTCAACACAACTTTTTGGAATAAAGAGGGAACTGGCTGATTGTTTGATTGACTGCCTGCTGCTGTTTGTCTTTGCGTGAAAATAGGCGAATTCAATTAAAAATTAAATGTTTGTGCTTTAAATTTTGTTTTTAAATATATATTTAACATTATGTTATAATTGTCTTACATTTGCTAAAAAAACGAATAGTAGAAATAAAGATGGTTTACCAGAGAGGCAGAGGGAGAAAGAAGTATAGCCAATTATATAAAATTAATATTTACAAAATATTTAATAACATTTTACAAAGTTTGTTGGTTAGTTGGTTGATTGATTGTGGTATCTTGCCTATATATATGATGTTATAAAATTAAATCACTTATTTAGTAGCTGTAATGGATTTTTTTTGTTTCTTTCAGACATTTTCTTAAAGTTTTTTTAACACATATACATCCTTAGGGTATTTTTTTCTTTTCCTACATGTATTTATAATTAATATTATATTCTATATACTATATATATGTAATTATAATTATATTAATAATAATATTTATAGCTCAAAGTGCTAAAATAAACTTTTTCGTCTTGTTTGATGTAATATAATATAAATTAATTGGTTTTTGTTTCTCTTTCTATTTTTTTTATAGAGAAAAGTATAAAATTTCTTAGTTTGCTAGGAGACTTAAATTATTACGAGTTGTTTTTCCTTTTTGTTAATTGTTTTTGAATTTTTTAAAATGTATTTATTTGTTGTTTTTAAAGTAAGAAGTTTAGGGAAGTTTGGGCGGGGATGGTAGTGTTGTTTTTGTGTGGATTTATGGGTATTCTCTTTCTTGATTGTTGATTATGTATAGCTAAGACTTGTTTTGTATTGTTTTATTTTATAATATATGTATATATCTATAAGCTAAGTTTTTCTTAGTTTTCTGATTAGATTTAAATAGATTTATTTATTTATTCACGTTTTTATTGGTAGTATTCTTCAAGTTCTTGTGTAAGTGTAAAAATGAGTAGCTGAGTAAATATTGGGACACATTGGGATTTGTTTGCATGGCTTGTGGCGTGTGGCTGGAAACTAAAGTGATACAAAAAAAAAATAATAATCGATTAGGGGACACAGTTTATCAGTTATCCGAAATGAAAATAAAAATTGTTTTTTTTTTTTTTTTTTTTTTTTGAAAAAAGACTTGTTTTTCTTATAAATTAATAAAGTTATTAATTTCAAAAATTATTTGAAATGTGATTTTAAAATTATCATTTTGTTTCCTTTTTTCTAATAGAATTATAATTCAAATTAAATATTAAATTGGAATGAATACCATTCTAATTAGGTGTTGTAGGGGATATTAATTCATTACAACACTCTGTTCAAGCTGCAATTCCTTTTTGAGGGGTACAATACATGAATCCAAAATTGCAAAATCCGCTGATGACCAAAACTAATGAATGCATTCTCGCGAGAGGGGAACATGTCTTTACGAAGCTTTTTCAAATTGGCATTATAAATATTGGGAATTTCAATTCAAATATTATTTACAAAATTCTAATCGTAATATTTAAAGTAAGACTCTCAACATACAAGAAACGGAAATAAATTGAATTGAATATCACTTGTACACCTTTTTAAAGATGTAATTGATGAAATTATTTCTATTGCAAGTCACATATTCGAATTGGGATTAACCACAATTAATAATTCAAATTATTTCAATAAAAGATTAAAAAAAATTATTTGGAATTACAATTTTATAAATCGAATAAAAAGGAATTATGAAATTGTATTTATAAATATTCCATTTGTTTAAATTGAATTTGTAATTCAAATTATGCCATTTGTAATTCAAATAATAACTGAAATGTTTTGAATATCATCTGAAAAAGGTGAATAGTGACTGAGTTCACTGTAGGCGAACTGAAATATATATAATAAATTTTAATGTTTCTTATGAATCTGTCGGATTCCACAAAAACGCATTCTGAGGGAATATTTAATTTATTTTCCTTTCGTTATATTTTAGAATATTTAGATTTCAAATATATGGTAATAAGTCTAAATATTGGTCTGGAAGCTGTTGCAAAAGAAAAAATATTTTCGAATTTCATAAAAACATCTAAAAATGTAAACAATTCCATATTTTTTTGATTTTAATTCTGGTGACTTCAAATTGAAAAAAAAAATAAATAAATACCACAAAACTTGTAGTTGGTCTCAAAAAGAATTGAAAAAAAAAAATAAAATTCGCATAATTTTTATTTTCCTTTGGGATATACACATAGAAAAAATACCTTGTTTGTGATGATGTGTGTCCCCCCTCTATACAATATTCATCTCTCTCTTTGCGATTCATTTAAAAATTGAAATATTGTTGTGATGCGTCGTGTGTGTTTCGTCGTCTTCGTGCTTTTTATTGATGTAAGCAACAAATCTCTTAACAATTACTATTATTATTATTGTTATGTACTACTGTTATGGGATTATTATAGGAATCGTGTATGGTGGTATGTGTAGGTATGTATTTATGTTTATCTATATAAATATATAAAAAATTAAATGACGAATTTTGTTTTTGTCTTAAATAGAGATGATGTACAAAAATTAAACAAAGAACGTTTTTGCAAGTGCTATTTATATATATAAAAAAAAACATTTGAAATGTTATTATTGTGAATGAAGAAACCTATTGTATAAGTAAAAATAATAATTAAAATAAACTAAATAACATGAGTACAAGGGGCGAGCGAAAAGGGAGGTTAGGCGGTACAACAGCAATTTGAATTTGCTGCCTGCAAGTGTTACAACATTATTCTTCTTTTGTGTGTGTGTGTCATGTGCCCAAAAAGCAAAATAATTCTTGCCATGGAGTTTTCTTCTACTTGTTTTTTATAATTAATATTTTTAACAAAACCAACAAAAATATGGACTATGCAAACCTGAATTGCCTGTGTTTGATTGTTTGCTTGGTTGGCTGTGGGTAGTCTAGTTTGTCTTAGAAATAACGATGCTGCTGATGGTGTTGTTGCTGCTGCTGGGAAGAGGGATTCATATTAAAGCGGCTGACATGGGGTGAGGGGGGAGCTGGATTCGGATATGGGGATTGAGCCGCTGCCATTAGCTAATTACACTAAAGTTGTTCTACAAATTTGGTAAGTTGATCGGAGGCATCGGAGACAGGGCCACCGGGACCACCCACCACACCGCCCACAACTCCTCCCACACCACCGACTACATCTTGCGGCACACCTGGCAGTGGTGACTGATGCGGATGCATACCACCATGATTGTGTAGACCATCATGGGATGTTTGTGGCGCGGGTGAATGTGACATAACGTGATGCGGACTAGGCTGAGCACGTGGCGACGCCGATGGTCCGCCTCGTGGCGATGGTGCCGAACGTGGTGAGGGTGTGGGCTGTGGCGAACGAATTGGCGGTGATGCTCTGGCGGATTGTTGCATTAGCTGCTGTTGTAAAGTGTGCGGTGTCGGAGGTCCCATGACATTTGGTCCACCAACCATGCCGCCACCACCTTGCATCATTTGTTGTTGTTGCACACCGGGCATACCGCCCATTTGTTGTTGAGGTGATGGTTTCAAACCCTGTTGCATGGCAGCATATTGATCAACGGGACCACCGGTTGGGCCACCTGCCCCGGGACCACCAAATGATCCGACGCCACCAAATTGTTGACCCGGTCCTCCTACGCCGCCCATTTGTTGAGGTGCTCGCTGACGATAGGGTGGTGGATAGTTGGGCATTTGTTGACGCATTTTGAACCATTGTGGGTTAGACGCCTATAGTAAAAAAAGAAAAGAACAATAAAATTAACATTTTAATGATATAATTGACGAAAAATATTTAAAATAAAAATAAAAGTCGGTCGGTACATTAACATGAGGGATTTTCTTAGAAAAATCTAAATAATTATTTGAATGGAAAATTCCCTTTCAGTGGGAATCTAAAATGCAAATAGTGATTATAAAAAAATTGACTACTATTCGCAATATGTAGAAGATGTTTTACCGGGAACAAGAGTAAGAGTTCCATCGTTTCTAATTTTACAGCTACAGGCTGTAAAAATCCGTCAGATGGAAAAATGTCTTAGAAGGGGCCGTGTGTTAGGTATTCGAAGAAGATTCCTTCAGTGCGAACTTAAAATGCAAAATTACAGTGATTATAAAAAAATTGGCTACCATTCGCAATATCTACAAGATGTGCTGCCGTGAACAAGAGTAAGAATTCTATTGTTTCTAATTTTACAGATACAGGCTGTAAAAATCTGTTACTTGGAAAAGTGGAAAAGAAGGGCCGTGTGCTAGGTATTCGACCTATACTATAATTCTAATTATATAGTTAACTTGTTATTCAAATCATTTCGGCCCATTAAAGATACATTACAAAATTGAGAGTAACTAAGAGTAAAAGAAACACGAGTATGACTATTCTCACTAAAATCGAAGTTCATTTCAAGAGATATCCCGGAGATCACCACCAAGACGTTATGGTGCTCTGTCGGGACTCTTAGTGTGAGACTGGTTTGGTGTTCGTGAATATCATTAATCATGCCAAAACACTGGTAATATTGAAACCTCTGTTTTGGTGTTCTCGGCAGTATTAATCATGCCAAAACAAAGCAATATTGATAGGAAAAAAGAGGAGTCGGTTTGTTAAAAAAATAAGTTTGTAATCTAATAGAACAATGTAAGATTTTATACAGTAACACTTTTAGGACATACTTTTGTTATAGCAATGATTGCTTCGCTAGTATACATATTTTGTAATTACCTTGAAAACTTTATGTTTATTACGAATAAATTTTTGTTTTGAATCTTAATTATTATTCATTTGCACACTTACTTGTCCTTGCTGTTGTTGCATCATCATTGGATTTGGCATACCCGGCATACGTTGATGTTGTACAGCATTTTGTTGTTGTTGTTGCATCATTACTTGCTGTTGGGATTGTGGCATTTGTTGTTGCTGGTTCATCATATGCTGCATTTGTTGTTGCTGTTGTTGTTGTTGCATAACTTGCTGTTGTTGCATTTGCTGCTGTTGTTGTTGCGGTCCATTACCGGCACCACCAACTCCCGCTCCACCAGCACCACCTTGTTGTCCACCACCTGCATTGGCATTATTTTGACTTTGCTGTCGCTGCTTAATAATGGCTGCCATTATTTGTGGATTTTGTTTGAGGACTTGTAGAATTTGTTGGTGGCCTTCATTGGTTGGATTATTTTTGATTTTCTGCATAATTTGGTGTAGCTGCTGAGTATTCAGTTGATTGTTAAGTGGTCCATTTGGCATTTGTCCTGAGCCGCCGACACCACCAGCATTGGGATGTGCTTGGGGTCGTATTGCTGCAACAGGAGCACCACCCATGGGACCAGCACCGCCCATACCAACCATTCCGGCGGCGTTCCCACCCATGCCAACACCTTGAGCATTGCCGGGCATATTACCCGAACTACCGGGCATTTGTTGAGAACCTGCAGCACCAACCATGCCACCCATCATTCCCTGTAATAAATTGGTGGAGATAAAAATATATTAGAAATAGTTTATTAGTCACAAGCTGCTTAGTGTTTAGAAATCCTTACTTGTTGTTGCATGGCATTGGGTTGCATAACCTGATTTTGATTGGGTTGACGCATGCCTTGATTGGCATTGTTGTTGGGATAACGATTGCCCCACTGATCCATGGGTAATAAATTATTACCCATAACATTGTTGCCACCGGGACCCATGGGTCCCACATTACCCACTCCACCAGGAACATTGCCGACGTTGCCTACCATACCGGGATTTGGTTGATTTGGTAGACCGCCCATGTGATGACGTTGCATAACGGGTGGAGCCATAGCACCACCTTTACCAAAGCCACCACCATGGGGAACTTGTTGTCGTGCGGCTTCCTCCTGTACCTGCAGAGCAGCAAATTGGTTGAGAATGGGGTGGGGGTTTAATGAAAATTTACAAACAACATATCAATAGTCCTTTTGTACTTACCTGTTTAACAACTTGCAATACATTAGGCGAGGGAGAATGTCCCCCACCTGGCTTCATTCCCATGCCTGGTTGATGCGGATGTGGCGATGTCATGCCACCACCAATTGGTGCAGCCACTGGCGAGGGCACTGGTACTGTGGAGGGGCTCATTGCTCCAGCGGCACCCGCTGGCATTATGGCCGGTTGACCTCCCATGACAGTGGGTGTAACCATGGCCACATTGGGAACTGGCACACCACCTGGCACACCAACGACCGGATTGGTAACTGCAGCCGGTCCGGTTAAGGCAGCTGGAGCCGTAACTGTACGCGACATAAGAGCAACACGTCTGCGTAACAACTGTTGTTGTTGCAACCTGGAATAAATGTGCATCAATTCAAATATTAGTTATAACACACACACACAATGAAATGAAAGTTCGGTAACATACTTTTGTTGCAACTGTTGTTGTTTGAGTTTGTGTTTGATATTTGGACAGAAAGGCACTGGACATTTTTGCTCTTGGCAATGTTTGGCATGATAGCAGCACAATGCAATAAGCTGTTTGCAAATGGGACAACCGCCATTGGTTTTCCGCTTGCAATTCTTTGTATGCTGGACCACACGTTTCATCTTCTGGCACGAAGGCAGGCGACAATTGGCATCGCGACACTGGCAAGCATGCACCAATGATTGAATGCAACGTTGGATGGATTGCTTGCGTGCCTCCTGAGGATTGGCTTGTTTCAAATCGGCTGGAGAAGAACCATCGTCCAAATCGAAGCCAAGTTTTTCCATTTTGTGAGGATGACCAATCTTTGCGTTACATAATGTACACAAATCAAAGTCCTGGTGGGGGAAAATGCGAAAATATTTTTAGTACATAGAAGAAAAAAGGAAGATGTAACAAAACAATTAAACTTACATCACATACTGTACAATGGTAGCGTGTTTCCACAGCAGTCTTGCAATTGTTGCAGGTGTAAACGAATTTATCTTGTCCTTGATTATGTAACTCATACAACATACATAATGTGGAGAATTGTGCCCGTCGCAATGATGAGAACTCATAGTGTTTGTCACGAGCCATGGTAAGGAATGCATCACGTCCATCCATGAGATCACATTGTAGCAATGGATCGGGATCTTGTATGGGCTGTTTTGAACAAAAAAATAGCATATCGTTAATATTTGTTAAATCCCCACCATTATTTAATATTTAAAACTTACCGCTAAACTGGCTGCAGATTGAGCTGAATGCAACCGTATGACAAAGAACACTTCCTTGTGCTTTTCCATGGTGGCATAGATTTTTGCCGAGAGATCATTGCCCGCTTGTTGTTCATTGGATTTTTTGTTGTTTTTACGCTGAGCTGCCTTTGACTTGTTCGATTTTTTTGCCTTCTTTTGTCCCTTCTTTTTGCCATCGCCGCTCACATCATTGTCCTCAATTGAGAAAATCTATTAGAAAAGGAATTGCCAAAATTACAAAAAAGATATTGTCTTGCGCTACTCACAACTCGCGCCTTTGATAACTTACATTTGCGGCAGCAGCAGCTGCGGCTTCGGCAGCTTCAGCTTGTTTTCGTTTTTCTTCTTCCTCCTGATCGAGCTCCTTTATGCTTTCCTCCAAGACATTGGGCCAGAAATCACCCTCGAAATATGGCAATTCAGCTGCCGATGTCAGTTTATCCTCTACCGCTTGCTTCAGAATATCCTTGTAGTCCTGAATGGTACGCTCAATCATACCTTTGTCCAACATTTTCTTATACCACTCTTGCAACCGCTTCGGTTTGGGTATCCGTTGATCTGTTGGATGGCAGTGGAATATATAATCATCACCTTCCGATGGTGGACACGCCCAAATATGAGCCATGGTATAGCCCAATTGTTTGACATAATCCATATAGCCAAGTAGAATTTCATGATACACAGCCGTACGATATTGACGTGGCCTAAAGAAATGCACCGAATCCAAATAGGCAATATATACACGTCTGGTATTCGGCGGTGGACATTCGGACCCGTATTCCTGTACGTGCATACCAAAGAAACACACATCGATGCCGTCAACTTCCTCGAAAGCAAACAGAGCTTTGGCGCGATAGGGGAATTCTGCACTCATATCACCGTTCTCGACAAAACGTCTACGCATGCCCGGTTTCACTTCGACACATTTGTCCGATGACGAGACAACGCGGATATGTACTTCACCGGCACCGGCTTCCTTTTTCTTGAGGAAATTGTTGACGCGAGTCTCAATGTAAATACCCAATTTGGTGGTGGGTAAACGTTTAGCATTGAATTTATTCTCTTTGCGTTTGGAGTTCTTCTTTTCCAGGCAACGATTGCAGACAAAACCACCTGGCCATATGGAATCCAACCATAGGACACAAATTTGATGCTGTTTACGTCCGCATTCTTGACAATCGACAAATGGTTCAAGTTCCAAATGATCATTTTTCATTTCTTTGAATTGATCTTTTTTGATTTGCCTAGAAATAATAGGAAAATATATATAGTTTCTTTGTTATTATATCCGGTTAAAGTGAAGAAGATGATGGTGATGATTTTCGTTCCGATAAAAATATAAATAATCAAAAAAACGCTAAACAGAAACTCTTAATTTTGGATAATTGTCCATATTGATTTTCTTATAAACTCAAATCGGTACGATGTGTAAAATGTATTCGCAATCGAACAAATCTTTACAATTTACACGCCATCGGGCAAATACATATGAACGGCTAAATTTAAAACTGAACCGATTTTCACCAATTTAATTTGGGTTCTTGAGGAATCCTTGACTATGCCAAATTTCATTGCGTTTGAATAATTGCTACATACACAATCGATTTCAAGTTTTGAAACAGACGCAATTACCACATCGAAAGATCTGGTTTCAATATAGGTCAAGGGTTATTCGTACTTATTTTAAAATCTAACGGAACTCTCTTGGTCTCTGTCCCTCTACATATACAATGGAAAAAAATAGTATGAATTAAAAATTATATTTGTGGAGAGTGTCTTATTTTTTTTAACTAAATTGGACCCAGTTGAGGGTCCAAAGACTTCGTATACAGCGCACATTAACATGTAATAATGATCATATAAATGCCTATATATTTGTTCGATTATTACTCGATTTTAGCAGCATAGTCTTCCTCCTGAATGTAATCAGTTGGGGGAAATGTTGGGCCTTACAAAAACATACATTTTTGTTTCGGGCGGAAGCAATTAGTTTTATTCGTTAAATATCTACTTTGAAGTGTTTTTGTTTAAAGAAAATTCTTGACAATGAAGAAAAAAGTAAACAGTAAGAAAAGTTCGAAAGTCGGACGGGGCCGACTATATGATACCCTTCACCACTTTGGGTACATACAAGAGATGATATGTACAATATCCTGTTGATAGAAGAGACATAGCATCTTGGGATGACCATTGACATGGAATTGGGTAAAAAAACAAATGTGATCTACATAGATATTTGAACCAATAAAAAATCTATAAAAAAATTGCCTTGTCTAAATCGGACAAATATTGGGAGTTTGGTGCACCATTTACCAAAAATCGGATGAAAATATATATATATATATATATCTAAATCGGAACCGGAGCTATATCTAAATCGGAACCGATTTCCACAAAACTTCGCATACATAAATTTGGAACAAATTTAGTAGGCTGTGCAAAATTGTGTGCCAATCAGCCTAAATATGACTCTTTGGTGCTCCATTTACATAAAATCGGACAAACCAATATATGCGAGCTACACCTAAATCAGAACCGATTTCAACAAAACTTCGCATACATCAATCTGGACATAATTCTGTACTCTGTGTAATTTTTTGTCTCAATCGGACCAATATTGGCAGTATGGTGCACCATTTACAAAAATTGGACGAAGGTATATATGGGAGCTATATCTAAATCTGAACTAATTTCATCAAAACTTGACATTTATCAATCTAGACCTGATGCAATACTCTGTGCAAAATGTTGTCTCAATTGGGCTAATATTGGCAGTAATGGTGCAGCCTAAAATCGGACGAAGGTATATATGGGAACTATATCTAAAAATCTGAACCGATTTCATGAAAAATTGACATATATCAATCTAGACCTAAATCAATATTCTGTGCTAAATTCTGTCTCAATCGGACCAATATTGGGAGTTTGGTGCATCATTTACATAAAATCGGACGGAACTATATATGGGAGCTATATCTAAAAATCTGAAACGATTTCATCAAAACTTGACATATATCAATCTAGATCTAATTCAATACTCTGTGCTAAATTCTGTCTCAATCGGACCAATATTGGGAGTTTGGTGCATCATTTACATAAAATCGGACGGAACTATATATGGGAGCTATATCTAAAAATCTGAACCGATTTCATTAAAACTTGACATATATCAATCTAGACCTAATTAAATACTCTGTACTAAATTCTGTCTCAATCAAACCAATATTTAGAGTTTGGTTCATCATTTACATAAAATCGGACGAATCTATATATGGGAGCTATATCTAAATCTGAACCAATTTTCTCCAATTTCAATAGCATTCGTCCTTGGGCCAATTAAGTAACAATTGCGGCCTGTACTTTGTTCAGAAAAATACATGGACGGACATACATAAATCGACTCAGCTGTGTCTAGCTGGATCCCTTTTGCCACAGTGTGATGAAGGGTATAAAAAGGATTCGTCAAGATATAAAATATTTTCTTTTCGCTAAAAATTATTTATTATACATAATAATAAAATATGAAAATGCGATACTTACGTTTGTGACTGCATTGGATCATCTCCCAGTGTTACGGTATCTCCTTGGATGTCATTGAAGCATTTCTGGCAGAAAGTATATCTGTTTGTGGCAACACCATAATCCTTTAGACTATATTTTCGTTTTGATTTTATATTGATTTTCATACATATACAGATATATATATATTTTTGGTATTTTGATTAAATAGTTGGTGGTTGGTTGGTTGGTGAAGAAGGATGGTGGTACGCGCAACAATCCAAAAATTAATAAATTCAAACAAGCAGAGCGATTTTGTATATGTTGTTTATATAGCGGCGGGCGGTTGTTGTTGGTGTATGATGATTTGATATATATATTTTGTATTTATGTTTTTGTACGTGCGAACAATTTTGATATTCATTTTTTTACAACATAGAAGATACAACAAATGTGGAGAAATGTGGATGATTGGGAAATGGATTAATTATAGAAATAATAATAATAGTAGTACAATAATAGATGGATTTTTTATTGTTAAGGATATAGGGATAAGCAACAAAATATATAAAATTTGTTGTAAATTGTTTGCATATGGCAATGTTGTTTTGTTTGTTTGTGTTCATAAAGAAGAAGAAAATTGTTTTTGGGGGGACGCGGCGTAACGTCATTATCATCAAGGATGCAATGAAGTTTTTGTTAGGTACACATACAACAAATTAATGGCGTGTGGAGGCGGCGGAGGGATATGTGGTGGAAGGGTGATGTTGATTGTTCGAAGGATGTTGTAGATTATTGGATTTCAAAAAAGACGCACACAAAAACCATAACCAGGATGTTTTTTGTTTAGGGTTTTGTTGTTTGTTTTTTAACATTTTGCAAGTATAGAAAAGAAAAATAAAAATAAGGTTGGCATTAGAATCGAGATACAAACATATTAATTCATGGTTGAGAAGAATTAAGTTTCGATTAGTTTTCATTTTTTTTATAAATTTAATTTGCTACATGTTTTTGTTGTATATACACAAGCAAATTAATATTATCAATCAATGAGTTTAATTGCATTATCTGTGTTTAGATAATTGAAAAAAGTGTTAATAAGTGGTTACTTTTGTAGTTGTTGTTTTCTACAAAAATTATAAAAATTGCCAATCAATTTCTAGAGTATAGTTTTTATGTTCTACTACAAATTATCTATTAAGTATCTAGGTTGAAATTTAAGATTATTTTTTTTTTTTTAATTGTATGCTTTTTTGTGTGTGATATTACAAAATTGACGGACTAAGACACACACAGGTTTACATAAGAATGGTAATAATAATAATCGAAAAAACGAAATACATTACATACCTATTTTGATAACTGTAGTATTTGGCATCTCTCGGTATGGTACACAATTGTTTACCATAACAGCATAAAACTTGCGGATTGAATGTGTATTTACGGCCACAACAATAGCCCAGTGTTTGCATTACGGGATCAATTTCTTGTTCAAACACCTCAGAAAGCTAAACAAAAATAATTATAAAAAGGTTTATTATTTTTTAATTTATATTTAATTTTTGTAATATAATTACAAAAAAATTACCAACTTACCTTTGTACAGTATTTATAAACTTTCGACGATTTACGATTATATAGCCATGCATTGTCAAACATTAGCCAAACATCGTCCACATACTCCCAGGGATCACTGTATTTGCCATTCATTAAATTATTACGTATACTACCCAAGTCCATGGGTTTCTTGATGATCTCAAAATAATCGGGTATGCACAAAACCAGTGGATCAACTGGATTACGGAATGGCACTGACTCGGGTTCATGACGTAAAAGTTTTTCCAATGTTGGCAGCAAAGCTTGTTTCAATTCTTCCGGATCAAATACTGCAATACACATATATAGAAACAAAAGACATGTCAGAAATGTTTAATTTAGCACCCAGCCACACAGACACACTTTACTTACCACATTTCTTTTTCTTATCGCCAGCATTTGGCATCAATGGTTCTGGTGCTACTGGCTTCGTTTCACTCTTCACTTTAACATCACCACCCGATGACGCTGTAGATCCATCGGCCATTGGCTTAATATCATCTTTACTGTCAGCCTTGGCGGCTTCTCCGCTAGTTGTGTTTGTTGTATTCGCACCACCGCCGGATGCTTCATCAACTTCCATTGGTTCGGATTTGATTTTCACATCACCATCTTCGGTTTTAATCTCCAATTTGGCTGTGCCATCGTTGTTTACATTTTTACCCACACCGGCTGAAGATTCTTGCTGAGAATTTTCACCGGCACTGCCGTCATCCATAAACTCCTTTTTGATATCATCCTCCTGTTTTATGGAATCCAATTTTCCTTTACATGACTTTCCGCCGCCTGCATTTTGTGAGTCACAATTGGGCGAGTTAGGCGGATCGTCATCGTTGTCTCGGGCGGCTGCTTCTAGGGCTGCCATTTGAGATGATAAACTATTGCTGCTACTAACGGGTCTTGCGGATGGTAATGCTGAACTAATGGCTGAGGTAGTTGTTGTTGTCGTAGCTGTGCCAGTGCTTCCCTTGCCCATTGATGTCATCTGTTGTTGACTTTGGGCTAGGCCATTGCTGGTTACACTGGTTTCGGTTACCGCGGTAGTGGTCGTGCTTGATGCACCAGACATAGAACTTGCTATTGCTGAGGAGCCTGCGCCCGTCGCCGCCGCAGTAGTCGACGCCACAGATGTGGTTGTCGATGCCGAGGTAGTGCTGGATGAGGACATTGCAGTAGCTGTAGCAGATGTTGTGGTGATTGTTGTCGAAGCTGAGGAAGATGCCGCCGTCGCTGATACCGATGACGAAGACGACGCTGATGATGTTGGAATTGTGGTAGACGGCGTAGTTGTAGACAGTAAGCCTACAGTTCCTCCTGTGTTCGCGGCAGTTGTAGTTGCTGCAGGTGTTGCATTTGCTGAGGCGGGAGATGAAGGATTTAATGATGCTGCTGGTGGTGGGGTATTTCCTCGATCGCCACCTATCGTCTGCATCAGAGATGGCACCGATGGTGGATTGTTGTTTATCGGGGTACCGATGGGACCATTTGTCGTGAAACTTGGCGAAGGACTTGGTGCTGCGACCATGCCGCCAGCGGCACCTACAGTTCCTGCAGACGCAGTACTAGTTACGCTGGTTGGTCCTGATGCACTTGTGCCGCCGCCACCACCACCTACTGCTGCTGAAAGCGAGTCCATGCTTGTGGGCGTCGGAGGCATATTTCCCATGTTGCCACCTCCGCCACTTGCATTGGCCATCATGTTCTGCTTTTGTTGCTGCTGAGACATTGGCGATGTGAACGCATTTGGTTGCTGCTGCGACATTTGTGTATTGCCAGCATTGTTGTTGCTGAAAGGTGACTGTGGCATTAACATTCCACTTTGCTGTTGTTGCTGCTGCTGTTGTTGTTGTTGCATCATGCGCTGCTGTTTCATCATCTCGTTCAGCTGCTGTGAGGTATGAGAACCAGTTCCACCATTAGCATTGATAAATTGCTGCTGTTGACCCGGTATTGGACTGGTCAACACATTAGCTACGCCTCCAGTGCCAGGTTGTCCCTGCATTGCTTGACCGGTGAATGGTGAAAGTACAGGGTTGGGAACAACCATATTTTGCTGTGATGCCGAAATGCCACCACCACCCATGCTATTGCCACCTGGACTTGGTCCGGGTGGTCCAACCAACATGTTGCCTTGTTGCGGGAATTGCATACGTTGCTGTTGCTGCAGGGCCAACATATTACCACCGGGTGAATGACTACGCATTCCTCCCATATTTTGGCCGGGCATGAGGCCACCGCCACCAACATTTCCTGGCGTTTGTCCTCGAAGCTGCATCATACCAGCGCCACCCATTGGCATACCACCGCCCTGATTTGGACCCACTGGCCCACCAGGACCAACACCTCCTCCCATTGGACTGACCATGGGACGTATTTGTTGTTGCATTTGCTGTTGTCCTGGGTGACCACCAGGAGGCATTTGCTGGCTTGGCAATCCACCGGCTGAATTAGGTCCAGTGCCAACACCGACACCTCCTGCCACATTACTGGGTCCAGCTCCAACTCCGCCGGCACCAACACCTCCTTGTTGTTGTTGCTGTTGTTGCTGCATTTGTAGCAGTTGCTGTTCCTTCCGCTTTATCCGTTTTTCCTCCAGCTCTTTTTGGATTTTGTAAATCTTCTCCGCTAGCAGGTGGTAGTACTCTGAGCGAGATTTGGCCATTTCGTACATGTCTCGTTCGACTTTTTCCGCATACGAGACGAGATTATGCATGCGTTTGTCCAACATAGTGGCTGGGTCGGATGTGGGGAAAATTGCTTGTACTAATTTGTGCACTAAATGCTTGCGCAGATCATCTGTAACAAGTTCTCGCCAATCTTTGTTTTCGTCACCGCCGCCGCTACCACCACCAGAAGCACTTGTACCGCTTGTACCACCTCCAGGTACACCACCGGTATTTTGTGATGTTGTCGGTACGCCACTTCCGGCTCCAGAATTATTATTACCCCCCGAAACATTGGGTACGCCACTTCCTTGCATGCCAGGACCGCCGGTTGCATTTTGATTACCTGTCACATTGTTATTGGGGGCATTATTGTTGGGTCCACCCACCAGACCACCAGCACCACCACCAGCCTGAGCTTGCATTTTCATCTTAGCCAACTCTTGGGGAGTTAGTTGTTTGTTAGGTGGTGCTCCGCCAACTGGGCCACCTGCTCCAATCATATCACCGGTATTTCCTCCTCCGCCGCCACCGAGGAGGTTATTTATATTGGAATTATTGAAATTATTGTTTACATTGACCGGCAGGGGAATGTTCGATTGCTGCTGCTGTTGTTGATTAAGGGAATTTGACTGAACTTGGTTGGGATCTGTGGGCCCTTTAACACCGGGCTTCAACAGATCAGAAAGACGCGGTGTGGATACTGACATTTGAAATTTATTTGGTCCTCCTGCTCCGCCATGTAGTAGCATTTGTTGTTGTTGACTTTGCATGCCGCCATCGGGGCCAGGACCATTACCACTACCTCCACTGATCAGTAGATTGTTGACAACTTGACGCATACCCACTTGATCGCTATTTCCGCCACCTGAGGATGGACCTACGGCAACTCCGCCGCCACCAGGTCCACCAACAGCTGTAGACATAACTCGCGCTGTTGGTGGTACTCCTGCCATTCGAATGCCCTGCATTTGTTGTTGTTGGGCATTAACGGCATTACCCTGCAACATGTTATTTGGTCCGCCAGCATTGCCTACAGCTCCCTGCATGCCCATACTATCGAATCTTCGAATCTCTTGATTGGGATTTTGAGAGGCATTTTGCATTTGTTGTTGCATATCGCCAGCATTGGTCTTCATATTCATTTGGCCTTGATTGGGCCCTACTACTCCTGCACCAACGGGCATTCCGCCAGCTCCAGCTGTGACATTGGGAGCAACACCGCCTGGTTGCACGCCACCAACACCACCACCAGGTTGTTGCGGGCCGCCGACCTGTTGAGGTCCACCAACTCCAACTGGAACTTGTTTATCATTGGCATTCGGCTGTCCTTGCTGCTGATTGGAATTGTTGCCAACACCGCCACCAGCATTGCCTCCCGCCGCATTTGGATTATTGTTTTGGAAAGCGTGATTTTGACGGAATGGGAAGCAAATAATACAGTCGGTGCGTTGACATGTCTTGTAATGCAGCAGAATTTGCCTCGACGACATGCAATGTTGGACTGTACAGTCGCGACTTTGTTTACATGTGGCCATGTGTGTGAGAACATCCTGCATGGGTTTGCAATATTGGACGTTGCATTTTTCGCGATTCGGATTGAGATTTTCGCGTCGGTTACACTTGTGTGCGTGCAGTAGCAGCATAAGTTGCTGTTGGATTTGTTTTTTGCGCTCTTCAGAGATATGTTGACCGCCGGTGCCACCACCACCTGCACCGCCGACAGCTCCGGCATTACCGCCGCCACCACCGCCTGCGTTGCCCACTTGTTGGGATGTTCCCGGCTGCTGTTGTTGTTGCTGCTGCTGTTGTTGCTGCTGTGACAACATCATGGAATTCTGTTGTGGGCCAACAGGTCCGGCACCCCCTTGTGGTCGTATACCGCCCATACCACCAGTACCCATTAAACCGCCCTGTGTGTTTTGCTGTTGATTGGGATTCATTTGAGCATTGTTCATTTGTTGTTGCTGAGGACCACCGACCAAACTAGCACCAGTGCCATCACCACCACCGACACCAGCGCCACCCATTCCAAGTGGAACACCACCCGGTCCACGTTGACCTTGTTGCATTGCGGCCGTCATATTTGGTGGTACACCGCCGTGTTGCGCTGCAATCTGTTGGGCCAACATTTGCTGCTGGGGATTATTGGCATTGACATTGATACCACCTTGAGGACCGCCAGGGCCTCCATAGTTGCCAACATTACCGACACCGACCCCACCGCCATAGGGTCCGTTCGGTCCAACACCGCCACCTACCATGTTGTTCATTTGACCTGAGACACACATATACAAATTATTATTATGAATAACAATGATGAACCGACCATTCATGATCAAATATTTGGGGGAATGTTAAAAAATTGAATAAATGGGAATGTTTGTTGTTTTATACAAAAATAGCAATAATAAAAACCACTTACCCATTTGCATATTAGGATTCTGCATACGAGGACCGCCACCAATGCCACTGGGTCCATTACCGCCCATCAAATGGGGATTTGGACCACGCAACATATGTTGCTGGCCCACCATACGCATCATTGGTCCATTTTGCATAACCTGAGGATGTCCAGCTGGACCACCCATATGCATACCCTGTTGAGGCCCACCAACACCGGGACCCATACTACCGGGACCAACTGGACCAACACCACCGGGACCAGCATTCATCATACCACCGGGTCCAGCACCAATTTGTTGTTTGATCATACCGGCACCGCCAACACCCATGCCGCCCATTCCACTATTCGTCAAAACCATATTACCCATATTTCCTTGAGCAATTGTGTTCATACCTTAAGAAAAAAAAAACAAAAATAACAACAATGCATTAGAATATAAAAAATGTTAACGTTTCAACTTTCAGATTTGTTTTACAAATACAAATGGAGATACACATTAGACTTATATAACATTGAAATTTTACAAGATCATTTCTGTTCATATTTATTTGATAGGCGATTTTTAACGATAATTGTCAAATACACTTCGGTAAATGATGGAAATATTATTTTATTCTATGCTATAATTTACGTATATGTAATAGGGGTAGCGATCCGACATTTAAAATTTGGGGTAGAGAGGAGGTCATTGACTTAACCCTCTCAAATCTTGATGACTCAGTCATCAGCAATTGGAGGGTATCTGATGAATATTCCTTTTCGGATCATTTCAAGATTTCCTTCGAGGTCTCATTTGACGGACGTAAACAAAACCCTTATAGAAATCCGAGGAGAACAAACTGGGAGAAATACATGGATCTAACGAACTCCCAGCTGACTCTTAATACAAACTTAGTAAAAGCTGTGGAACTCAATGGGGCCGTGACCAGGCGACAGTACAGAATATAAAAAATGTTAACGTTTCAACTTTCAGATTTGTTTTACAAATACAAATGGAGATACACATTAGACTTATATAACATTGAAATTTTACAAGATCATTTCTGTTCATATTTATTTGATAGGCGATTTTTAACGATAATTGTCAAATACACTTCGGTAAATGATGGAAATATTATTTTACTCTATGCTATAATTTACGTATATGTAATAGGGGTAGCGATCCGACATTTAAAATTTGGGGTAGAGAGGAGGTCATTGACTTAACCCTCTCAAATCTTGATGACTCAGTCATCAGCAATTGGAGGGTATCTGATGAATATTCCTTTTCGGATCATTTCAAGATTTCCTTCGAGGTCTCATTTGACGGACGTAAACAAAACCCTTATAGAAATCCGAGGAGAACAAACTGGGAGAAATACATGGATCTAACGAACTCCCAGCTGACTCTTAATACAAACTTAGTAAAAGCTGTGGAACTCAATGGGGCCGTGACCAGGCGACAGTACAACATGGCGCATAAATCAAAACTCGATATTGAATGGAACTCCTAAAGAGCTAGTTTCAACAAATACAAGAGTGAGATTAAGCGTGCAAAGAAGTCATGGATAAATTTCTGTGAGTCGATAGAAGGATTGAACGACGCTGCTAGGTTTTGAAGATTACTATCCAAGGATCCGAAATCCATCGGGAGTATTAAGAAACAGGATGGAGCGTGTACGGACTCTGGTTCTGAGACTCTTCATCTCCTAGCTGAGACTCATTTCCCAGGTTGCAAAGATGTGGATACCATCAACGGTGAACGTGATGACACTCAGCCTCTCGCGACTCTAGATTTGGATCTCATTGGCAAGGTGGTGGTTAACTGAAATAAGATACGCTGGACAGTCAATACATTCAAACCATATAAATCGCCAGGACCAGATGGAATCACACCGGCGATGCTTCAATTTGCCTCGCCAAGTATATATCAGATCCTGGTTTGAGATATAGAGGGAGCCTTTAACAACGTCAAACTTGAATCCGTAAACCACTCACTTAAAAACCAACAAAGACGGAACTAGTAATGTTCACTAGGAAGCATAAGCTCGGCGTCTTTGCTCCACCAACACTGGATAGAGTGCAACTTCATCTATCACCCGAAGCAAAGTACCTTTGCACAATCCTGGACTGTCAATTACGATGGAACAGGAACGCCGAGGAACGGTCAAAGAGAGGGCTGATTGCACTCTATGCATGCAAGAATTCCATTGGGAAAAGTTGGGGCTAAAACATCGACTATACACTGGTTCTATAACACCGTGGTAAGGCCCATCCTTTCCTATGGTTCTCTTGTTTGGTGGAACTGCCTGCGCCACAAGTCGACATCCAGCAAATTAGATATGGTACAAAGAACCGCCTCGATTTAATAACAGGAGCCATGAGGAGCACGCCACAAGCAGCTCTGAACGCAATGTTGAACTTAAGGCCTCTGGACCTCAACATTAAGTGTCAGGCCGCCGGTAGTGCCCTATGGCTGCATGAACAAAACCTTTGCACTTGAAGGAATTTATAACGATTTTCCGTTCTCCGAAAAGCTCAGAGTTATACTCGCCTAACAAACTCAAACTTTTTACCATTAACACTAATCAAAATAACTCTATAATTATTTAGATGTTTTACAAGTATTTTTCCTTACCTGACATGGAATTCATTTGTGTGCCATTATTTGAAATGGACATTGGCATTGAGTTGACAATGGCACACATTTGATTAACATTTACTTGCATACCACCGGCATTGGGAGATTGTAAATTTGGCGATTTACTGCCCAATTGATTCATGACAGCAGCGCCCATTGGATTGCCAACCATACCGGGATTTTTGTTACCCTAGAAAAATGAAGATATGATGAAGTATGTTTAAATAATATACAAAACAAAAGCATTTAAATTTATGAATTAATATAAAGAAATTTAAATTGTGTATTGAAACCCGTTATTACCTGTTGCTGAAGCAGATGTTGTAAATGTTGATGATGTTGCATTTGCCGTAATGGATTACCGCCTGGACCACCACCTCCGGCTGAATTGACATCATCAACTGAACCATTTAGTTGGGGACCACCAGCACCGCCTGGTCCAGGTCCTTGAGCTGGAGGCTTATTGGGACCGCCAACGCCGCCGACATTAACAGCCATCCCATGATTTGGTGGACCACCGGATATTGGTCCAGAACCAGGTCCACCACCACCGCCCAATTGATCACCCCATGTTACTAATTCATCGGGCAGGTTCTCTTCGAGCATATAAAGATCATCAACTTTCATCCGCTTTTGCGGAGGTTCTTCCATGTGATCGGCCATCATTCATAAAATGTTTGCTATTGTTGTTTCTTGCTTTTGGTTAAATAAGAACTATATGAGTTTGTTGTGATTTTTTATTAAAAACACTCGCGTTTGGTTTTGCTTAGTCTTGACAGATTTTGTTTTGTAGCTTTTATGTTATAACTTTTTATGTTTTTTATACATTAAACGAAAAGAATAAGAAGAAGAAGCAGTAGTTTTAAACAACAATGTTCATTGTTGGTTTCTTGAGTTGTGGGGGCTCCTCTTTTTGGCGTTTGAAGCTGCTTACTTTTGTTTGGTGTTTTGAAAACAATAACAAATTGCAAGAGAGAATATACCAAAGATAGCGCGAGAGTGTATGTAAAGAGAAAGAGATTAACGAGGAACTTTTTTGTTTGTTTTGTTGGCGGCAATATTTTAATGATTTTTTTTTCAATATTTGTTTGTATTTTTGCAAACTAGGATTTTTGTTTCTTTTAGAAATCTGCTGCCAATAGTTTTGTTGTTGTTCTTGTTGCGGTTGTTGTTGCCGTCAATGATAGCAGGAATTGATATTGCCAAGGTTGCAAACGTCGACGTCGTTGCTTAAAAAACAATATGTCTCTTTGTTGTTGCTGCTGTTGTTGTTTTGTTTTATGAATTGTTGTTATTGCTGCTGTATTTGATTTGTTACTGACAAAATTAACTTCTTTTTTCTTATCCAACAATTTTTCACAAGTGATCTTACTTTCAAACACGCTCGAGTGCATTTTGTTTTAAAACTCACTCTTTTTTAGATAAATGTACTGTTTTTTTTGTTTTGTTCTTTAAGCACTTTGGCTTCAAGACTTGTTTTGCACAGATAAATTTCTTTTTTTTTTTTTTCTTCTTTTCAATATTTCTTTTTTTAATAAAACTTTTACATCCGACGACGATCCTTGTTGTTCGCTGAGTCGTTTGTCGTTGTGTTTTATTTATTTTTTGGTGATTTGGAATAATAGCTTTAGCTGATATTTGCCTCCGCCAAATCCTCCGTCACCACTTTAACACTTAGCACAACATAATATTGTCTTATTCCGTCTGTTGCATACTCTTGCATACATTCATCAAACGACATTGTTTTCACTTTTCTTTGAACTTTCAATATTTGTTTGCTTGTTTCTTTGAATTCTTTTTTACTTGTCTTCAGTCATTAGCTGCTGCCTCTTCCACTACAACCACTACTAGGATGAGCCAGGACAATTGTTGTGGTGTACTATCTTGAATATTTTTTTACGTTTTTTCCACATGAATTCTTGTTTTTTTAATACTTGTCGTCGTTGTCTTTGTTGTTGGTTAATAGAAGAACATCGTTGCTTGACTTCATACTTGTTGTTGTTGATATTATTGTTGTTTCACAAGAGAATTGCACAAATCTGTAAACACACAAAAAAAAAAAAAACATTGTTGATTTCTTTATTAATTCATTTCAATGGTCAGAAGAAGGAGGCAGACAAAAATACAGGCAGTCAGACGTTTTCTTCTATTATTATTATTTTTTGTTTTTCTATTGTAAAGTGAAAGAAGAAAAGTGTTGCGCGCTTTTTTTCTATCTTGTTTTTGTTACTTCGTTTTGAACACCGAGGTGGAGAACACACACTCATACATGCATGCCAACGAACAAAAATATAGAGACACAAATAATTTTGTCCAAGAAACGACAAAATAGCAGACAGAGTAGCAACATGAACGAATAAAACGAGCAATGGTCAAGTCAAATATTGCTTGTGTGCATACGCGCCTACGAGAGTGGATCTGTGTGTGCGAGCGTGGTTTGGAGAAAATACAAAACATTTTTTGTAAATGCAGACACAGTGAAAGAGCTAGTTGGTTGGTTGGATGGCTAGCTAGCTGGTTAGTTGGCCATATAGCTAGAGCATTGTTATCGCCGCGATAGAAAACTTTAGAACCGCTCGCTCGAACATGATTGTGTTGCAGCAGCAGTGCGATAGCAGCTATGTAAAGAGATTGACGACGATGAAAACAAATCATCTCATTTCTTTTTCTACACTATACCACCACTATTCGTTACTCGTCGTCACTACTAACACTTTACTACTCGTTACAAAATAAAATATTCTCTTCTCCGACAGACAGCTCTGTTTTGTGGTGTATGAACATTTTTCTTTCAGCCAACAGCAGCTAGCCATCCATCCATCCATATTATACGCTCTCAATAATAATTTTTTGTACTACTCGCTCGCTAGCGTACTCGTTTTCTTTCACTACACACACACTCGCGTACACATTCTCACACAACACATCTCTTCTATATTTTACATTTTTTTGTTGCTGCTTTGCCTGTATTTAATACCACCATTTAAACTCTACGAGTGCGAGCAGTATTGGAAAAAGAAAGAAAAACACAGACTGGCGACTGTAAAAAATTTTTGGTTGTTCGTTTTTCTTTCACGTCGTCGTCGTAGTCGTTGAATCTTAAAATTTCTAATGCACATATCAGAGAAAAAATTTTGTTTTATTTAAATTGTAGGCTTAAAAAAATCACAAAATTTTTCTGCAAAAAACCGAAATTACAGAAAAATTAACACAAAAATACAAAATTATCATATCGAAAAAAATCCGGCACAATTACATTTTGTTGATGGTCACTTTTGGGCAATCTGTTAATTTCTATTTTTTCTTTGAATTTTTCTTGAATTTCAATTTTTCGCCAAATATTTTTAGGATTTTTTGTTGATTTTTAGCAAGTTTTTGAAACTTTTTTGCAACAATCAAAAACACAAAAACTTTTGTCCGTTTATGTTGCAGTAGCGAAAAAGTCAACTGATTTTGCAAACGAACAGCAACAGAACTAGGAAGAAGACTGAAGCCGATGTATAGTCGCATTCAGAGGCGGCCAGTGTTGCCATAGTGTTTTTCTTAGGGGGCTACTAACATAACGAGTACGTTTTTGTGTACATTTACAGCCGAAGAGTACAAAGTGAACGAAGAAAAGGGACAACAATTTATTACCAGAGTTATTTTTTCTTCGTTTTGCTTTGTTTGCGCTTTATGAATGTAAACAAATGCGATTTAAGAAATGATTTGGGAAAAGAAAATACATGTGCGTATTTAAAATAATAATGCCTAAAAATTTTAATTAATTGAAAAATATATTTTCAGATAACTATAAATTGTAAAAATTAAATATTATCTTTGAACCATGGTTTGAGCAAACATATGTGTGTATGTGTGGTGTATAATAAATAAATATTTTTTTACCGTTTTTTATGCTAATATAAATGATAATAAAATTTCAAAAACGTCAAACCTAAAATCGAATTGTATTGTGTTTTAGGTTTTCTGAAATGTTCTCACAAAAATTGAAAATATTAACACTTAAATTTTTGCAACTCAAAATCCAATTTGAATTTTTTTAAATTTTAGTAAATTAATGGCAGATGTATGTCAGTTTGGAAAAGAAATGCTCGAAAGAAGTTAGACCTAGAAAATTATGTAGACAAAAGAGTAGAAAATATCATTATTGTAGTTGAATTCCATGAATTTCTATTACTAAATATGAAAAATTGGCTTTTTTATATTACAATGAAGTGAGTTAATAAAAATTAAATGAAATTAAAATACCTCGAATAATCTTTATCAATATTGTGGTATATTCCTGTGTAAAATTTAATCAAGCCTATTTTTTTATTAATACATACTATCGAAAATTCATTTAAAAAGTATTAAACTAATTCGTTTACCAAATAATTTTTCTTTTATATTCACTTAAAAAAAATACCGAAAACTTAATTTATAGATTGAAAAAGATAACATGATGTATCATTGCAAAGAATGCAAAATTTGCATCCACAATAAAATTACGAAAACTGGAATACTATCATTAAATTTTATAATAAAATATTTAATTTTCCGATGTATATTGATAATAGAGGCTATTTTATTTTAAATTTAAGTTATTTTCGGAAGGACCGCGTTTTAAAATAATATCTTTGTTTATTACAATTATTGTACTGAATAGGGATATATCATCGAGCGCAAAGGTGGACTTTTAGACTTTTACATCTGACCAAAAAGCCGATTTTTGTTGTTTTCGATTTTTGTCAAACATGTACAAAATCGATTTTCCACTTTTAACGAATAACGCAAAATCGATCGAAACATATGATTACTTATATGAATTGTATTCACCATTATGTTAAGTTCAACTTTTACTTAATTTCCGAAGCAGATCAAATTTGGGTGCTACATTATTTTAAATAGATTTTTGTAAAGCATGTGAATTTCCTGAAATTCGAATTCTATATATTTTCGGATGGAGTCATCATCATTTGGAAAAAATTATCCTGTTATTGATGAAACGAAAATATATTGGTAATCCCAATTACATTTTTTGGATTGGATTACGACGTCTCATTTATTTTTCGCGGGTTTCGTATAAATACTTTTTATTAACTTATGTGTTTTTTAAGATCAATTTTTATTTCGGTAGGGTTTTAGTAGTACTACATTTTTGCCGTGACCAATTTCATTACCTAATGTAATTATAAACGATTTTGAGAGTTGTCAATTATTGCGGTATTTTTTACATAATTCAACATCTTGTTGCATATGATTTGAAAGCGATATGAAACTACTGCTGATATATAAACAACAACAAATAAAAAAAACTCTCAATATATGCTACTTTGTTTTATTTTACCGTAATTGAATGTATAAAAATAAGCCTTGGGTTGTTTTACACAATAGTAGAAATTTCAATCTTAAATCCAACTAAACTTCTGAAATTCTTTATTCTTTTAACATGTTTTACTATTGACACATTGGTAAAAAGTAAAATTTTATACAAAAAAACATTGTAACGGATTTCGGTAAACCAGTGGTTTTAAAATGTATATCCGATTGCGTATATGTGAAATAAATAAATTGCGTATATGTGAAATAAAGTGGATAAAATCGTTCGTTTTGGAGTATTGTCATGATTCAAAATATTCGAAATATAACCCAGTGGTTTTAAATTGTCAATTCCATTGAAATCCTCATTCCAAATAAATCCTCATAAAGTAGGTTAACCCCGAAAAAAAATTCTAATGTAAATCCCGTTTTATTCTCATTTTATTTTATTTTTTAATATTGCTTATAATAAACTTCAGTAATTTAACATTTTTTTTTTAATTGTATCGTTTTTTGTCAATAATTGGCAACAGTTTTCAATTGTCGACATCATATGTTTCTATATTCGACATTGCGTATATAAAAAATTTTCATAAAGTAGGTTTATCCGGTAAACAGTTCTACTAATGTACATCGTTTTGATCGATATATCTATAGGGTAAACACACTTAATTCCGGCATGTACCAATAGTCGGCATCTGTTTTAAATAAATTCAAATAACAAAAAAATCCTATGACTAAATATGAAAAATAGCATGAATAATCTTCAATAAATTTAATCGAGTTAAGTACATTTATTCAGTCAAATGGCATTTGGTCAATGAGTTTCGTCAACACTCAAAATTGGACAAAATTGTTAAATAAGTGCTCTAAATAACGATTAATTAAAAAAGAAATCAGTTTTGAATGGTTTTACATAATGGAGTCAAGGTTTTAATCTTAAATCCTTTTAACATCTGAAATGCCTTATTTAGTCATGCCGAGAATAAAAGTCATGCCGAGAATAATAATTTTAGTCATGCCGAGAATAATAATTTGTTTAATACTGTACTAATAGAAATGTCTGATAATAATTTATTAATTAAAATAAATGAAAAATTAAAGAAATAATTTTTGTTCAATTAAAATCAAATTTGTTGGATGTCGATTATATTTTATAAATTATTATTTATTTATTTTTTTTTTTTTTTTGAGTTTAAGGGGCATGGCATAATTGAACAAGGTAGTCTCATGCAGTTATATGTTTCCATTTTTTTTCATAAATATTCCTTTGACAGTATTCAGCTTTCAAAATTTAAACGAAAATATCTTCCTTCGAAATGTACGCATATCATGGGTTCAGTGGCCAAAATTGCTATATAAGTTATATACAATCGAATTCTATTAAGCGAACGCCGGTTAATCGAAAAAATCTGTTAATTGAAACTAAAAAAATTAAACTAATATTCTGGTGAATTTTTAAACACTTTACTTCGCTTAAAAGAAAAAGCGGTTAATTGAAAATCTGTATAAGGGGAAAATTTTTTTGTTGCAAAAACACAAATATATATGAAAAGAGCACCGTTTAAGAGAAAAATATCATTTTTGTAAGGGCGACGAAATGCAACCCTAAAATTTTCGGATATTGTTTGAAAAATATCGTTTAAGCGCAATGTGTTTCGCTTATCCGAAGTTCTTTTAATTGAAACCCCTGCTTAAGAGAAAAACATTTTCTGAAATAATGCGTTTTCGCTTAATCATA